CTGGTAAATATCGTTTCACCCAAATAATTTTAGTACATCTCTGTCCTGCTTCCCAACAGAAATCATAAGGAATGCCTTCTCTATATCGGCAATGAAAGCACACTTGTGAACCCTAAATTTAACTAGTAACTCCATTATTATCTGATTGAACTTTGGCTCAACATAAAGACATTCATTCAGTGAAGGACCAGTGCTTCTTGTTGAGGCATCATAAACAATGCGTAACTTGGTTGTTTCCTTATCCCCTCTAACTACACAGTGATGTGGCAAATTGTGAACCCTCTCTATATCAGTCCTTGTAGGATTTTCCACTACCTCAACTATACCACTATCCAATTGAGTGACAATGGCCTTATTGTGTTTCTCAAGTAGTGTAGGGTTTTTTCTCAATCTGCGAAGCAATCCATTCAATCGTTTTAAAGACAGTTGATAGTTATCAGGAATAGATGAAACATCTTCTCTCCAAGGTAGAGTAACTTCATATCGTGTTCCATCAAAAGTAACATTCTTCTTAAACTGGTCATAAAGGGTGCTCTCCTTTTCACAAATTCCAAGTGACTCAATCTCCCAAAACTTCTGTAACTGCTCTGTAAGTTATAACTTCTCCTGACCAGCTCTAACACCACAAGTCAATACATAAGTTACAAGAGTTGTAGAATCTGAAGCAACAGGACCTGACAAGAGCCATCCCAGACTTAAGTATGTAGCTGTAGGCCCACTATCTCCTCGCAGTACCTCCCCAGATACTATGTCCCAATAATAGTCCAGTCCTATGAGAATATCCAGCTTAATGACATCTCCATTAGTGCCTGGATCTGCAAGATCTAAGTCCTTCAAGTGATCATAGCCTCTGATGCAGTCTCTTAGTGATACACCAACCAAAGGCTCACAGATAAGTGGAAAAACCATTAGATTGAGAACCAGTGTGTTCCCATCATTAGTTTCTAGAACTGCTTGAGCAATCTTACAGGACTGCCTCCTTTTTCCGGTGTTCCCAAATGTAGCAATGACTAAGTCTTTCTTACCAAGTATTCTCAAAGAAAGCTTATGACACACTTCTTCCGTTATGTAAGATCTGTGGCTACCACTATTAAATACTAGTCTCAATGTAGCTCTCTCTGTACTCTGTGTTGTGCACAGTCGCCTGCGCAGTCTGTAGCAGTATAGTTCCCTTAGCATCAGTCAGTAGAGTAGCTGATTTGAAAGGATCACCCTCGGGATTGAACCACTTTGTACTCTCTCCTTCCTTGCTACTCTCTCTCTTGTTTATGCAGATGCTAGTATGATGCTTATTACTACACAAACTACATTTAATGCTTAATCTACAATTATGACTTATGTGACTTCGTCTCAGACAAATAAAGCATCTACCAGAATCTCAACATAGACTTTCCTTTGTCTATCTTATCAACTTTTGTGTAAGATTCTGGAGCATGCTCTTCATCACAATAACAACAATGAGTAATACTAGTATGAAGTGTCGCTGACGTGGGACGTTCGCGTTGAGGTTTGCTTTCCTTAAAATGAGACGTTCTCATTTGAGAAGTTTTGGTATACTTTCTTATGCATACATGTACCATGGGAACCATAGATTATTCATGCATGTCATTTTAAAACCTCAGTTAAAGTTAGTTTTCTAATTCATATTGTATTTTAAATTTTGAGTATTGCATCAAAATTATCGAACTATACCTTATGTTGTTGCCTTTTTGCCATCTAGTAAGGGAAGAAAGTTAGAAAGTAAATACTGTAGTTTTTGATAAATTTAATCTGCCAGTAGACATAAAGTTAAATGTATTGAGTCACCTTAATTGTCATGTAAAGCTATTTTATTTTTTGTAAATAGTTAAGACATTTTTGGCAAACATCCATTCGTCTTTACATTTCTCCTTATCATTTCTGTCTACATACATACATGTATTCTGTGCAGTTTTAAATTTACTCCTAATGCAGTGTTATATGGCAATGATTCTGCATGTGAGAGAACCCCTAATAGGCTTTTATTTATTATATACAGTACAGGGCGAAAAAAAGATAAGTAGCTACTCTACTTTTGCGTAGGTACAGTTTAAAGAGAAAAAAGCTAAGTAGCTCAGAGTAGTTCCTAGAAACTGCAGTTTTCTTCCTACGCAGCTCATGTGAAACAAAACGGTAGTAGTAACGAGCAGCTTTGCTTTCTTTACTCCTGCGCTACTCTACTCTACTGACGAGCTGCGCATGCGCTACTCAATACTGCACATGCGCAATAATTTTCACCAGCCCAGTTACGACTCAGTGGAAACGAGTAGAAATGAGTCTTAGAAAGCTGATAAAAGACACCCAGAAGAAGACAAATTGTAAGTTAAAGACATGTTTAGGAGTCTTGTTACTATTTTAAACGCTAGCTTCTTACTTTTTGATATACTTTAAGCAAGACAATACTTATTCTATTGTGAAAGCAAACTGTGTAGAAGCTGAGCAGCTGGAAACTGGTACCTCCTGCAGAGTAAGGGATGGAAAGGACTTTCATGATGGCACAATAGTCACCTTTGGTAACACTGTACTTTAATTTTTAGTCAATAGCTGCACATATAATTTTCTAGGAGATATGAAAGATGTAAGTAATGCTGCAGGTGATATTATTGAAAAGATTGAGAGTCAGCGGAGAATATGGAGAAAGAGTCAGCCGAGAATACGGAGGAAGAGTCAGCCGAGAGTATGAAGAATGAGTTAGACTACATAGCGTGGCACAATAAAAAGGAAAGCTAAAAAAAGTGAGATCGGCTGGTATAAGTATATAGTATACCTAACCCTACATGTAAATTCACATCTACATGTAGGTACCATGGAATAAAGAAACCAAAAATAGAAAAAGGAAAGGAAGGTGAAGGTACATAATACTATATATGTATGCATTAAAAAGGTAATTTATTATAAAAACACAGAACAGAAATCCACAGTTAATATTGTTGCTGTTGGTTGTGCTACAAATAAATGAATCTGCTGCAAATAATGAAGCAACAAACTTCAACACTGGAGATCCTTCTAAGCATATTAGTATCAGTAAGATTAAATATAATAATAGTTATTACTGTTGTTTTACTTGTTATTATTAGAAGCAAGAAAACCTTCAGAGAGAAAAGAGGCAGATTCCAGTGAAAGAATTCTTTGTCATAACCCTCCACCACTTCCACTACCACTTGCACTGGTGGAGCTTGAAACTCAAGCTGCATGTAGTACTGAAACAGGTGAATTGTTTTACATGTACCTGTACAAATTTAGTCAACATTAATAACATATTACTTGATTATCACAAACAATTAATGCTGTTTTGTTTAGAGGTTATACAGTCTCTAATTAGAAGAATGGAAACTTTAAAAGAACAGAGTATCATGGTGCCATCCCAGTTGGGTTGCTTAACATATCATTTCTTTGGAAATACTAGTATGAACACAAGAGTTAGTATTCAGTAATAATTATTAGCGATTAGTAATATCCTATTAATATTCTAGGCAGGTAATGCTGTTTTGTTTAGAGGTTATACAGTCTCTAATTAGAAGA